CTAGGTTCAGCTGGTACTATAAACTTGTGCTTCTGAGTACAGAACTGAGGCAGGAGACTCAGGAGGAAGAAAAAGAAGGCCTCAGAGTTGATTCACACATTCCCACTCGATGATAATAGTAAATAAAAATATAAAATTCTGCATAACTGGATAGAACTAGCCTTAGAAAAGATAAGACAGTTTTAATTAAAAGTTAGTGTTATACAACTGATGGATCCATCCTTCAATCATTATAATAATTCTCTATCAAAGTTTTTCTCTTTTAAAGATATATTTTATTTTATATTTATTATATATATGTAAATACATGTGTGCATGTATGTGCATGCCTGTGGAGGCCAGAAAAGGGTATTGGATCCCCTAGAGCTGAAGTTTCAGCCTGTTGAGAGCCTCCTGTTGTGGGTGCTGGGAACCAAACTCTGATGATGTAAGTGTTGGGAACCAAACTTGGGTCCTCTGCAAGAGTGGCAAATGCTTGTATGTAACTCCTAAGCCATTTCTTTGAATTTACTAGCAAAGTTTTTCAAAACAATATAATCAGGCAAGAAGGATTAAAAGGATAATCATGCCCACCGAATGTATGATTATATTATTACTTTTTATTCTCAATCAAATCGGAGTTCAGAAGGAAAAGTAAAGAAAGTGATACTTTCTTTACTGTGAGATTTGCCACTGCACATTTTCATTAATGCTCATCAGTGGCCTGTTACAGCGACATCAAAAGGCATCTCTTCCTTGGGGTAATTATTAGTAATTTGGATCAAGAAGTTTCCCTACAATATCATTTCCAGGATTTGTCTTATAACCGATGACTAGATAAAGGATTCTCCCCTTATTGACTTCTTCTGTTAGAATCATAGAAGGAACCTATTAAATTCCTGCCTCAAATTATGCCTATAGACAATCTTAAAATCCAAGGTTAGAAGTCATATAATCTTGGCCACTAGTTAAATCATTCAGTAATAAAAATACCTTCCCTCCCTGTTTTGAAGGATAACCCTGGGAAGTAGGGTATGGTAAAGGACAAAGCTATGCAAGTACATATAAGTCACAGTTATGTTTTTTCAGTAAGTCATGATACCTCTCCTCCCAGAGCCTCACTTCTCTTTTCCTCTCAGGTAGATCTCCAGGTTTTGATTAAACACACTTATATTGATTATTTATATCTTTTATCTACAAATTGTCTAAAGTAATATTCAATTCTATAGTCTCAATTTTCTAATAATTTCTATTGGGTTAAAGTCCTGGCCAATTCTTCTAACGTATGAAAAGTTAACTAACTTTCCAGACATCACATCAGACAGCTACTCTGCAAAGATAAGAAATCTGATTGTTTTCCTTCCAAAACATTTGTTTAGTTAATATACTTGAGGGTGGTCCATTCATAGTGGACCTTTGCCCATTCAAAATTTCTTAAAATTTGATCTTAAGTAAATTGTCTTCATCTGTGTGATCTACTATAATAAAATTTTGTACAAATAGGTGACTGATAAGCAATGGAAATCTCTTTCACTGTTCTGGAAACTAGGAAATCCAAGATGGAGGTGTTGGCAGATTTGGTGTCTGAGAGAACCTGCCCTCCCCTCCCCTCCCCTCCCGTCCCCTCATGTATTCATGTGGGGATGCACATATGTATGTGTGCATGTGAGTATGAGTATAGAGGTAAAGGTCAACTTCAAGTGATGTTTCTTGGGCACTGTCCACATTATTATTTTTGTGACAGAGTTGTATACTCATCTGGAGCTCACCAATTAATCTAGGCTGTCTTACCAGGAGGTACCAAGGACCTGCCTGTTTCCACCTCTCCAGCACTGTGATTATAAGTATGCACCATCTACCAAAAAAAAAGAAAAGAAAGAAAGAAAGAGAAAGAAAGAAAGAAAGAAAGAAAGAAAGAAAGAAAGAAAGAAAGAAAGAAAGAAAGAAAAGCTGGGTATGGTGGCACATACCTTTAGTCCCAGCACTTGAGGAGGCAGAGGCAGGAGGATCTCTGTGAGTTAGAGGCCAGCCTCGTCTACATAGCAAGTTCCAGGCCAGCTGGGGCTATGAGGAAACCCTGTCTCAAAAATACCAAAAAAATAAAATAAAAAATAAGTATGCACCATCACACTTGCCTTTTTATGTGGGAGCAGGGGTCAAACTCAGACTCATGCTTGCACAGCAAGAACTTACCAGCTGAGCCATCTTTCTAGCTCTCTACTTATGGATCAAAGGCACCTTCTTTCTATGTGCTCACATGGTAAAAGCATGAGGGGTCTCTCTTTGGCTTCTTTCAGAATGTGACTAATCATATTCATATGGAGTCGGCCTTTGTGACCCAATCACCTCCCAAAGGCCCCACTTTCTAAAACTATCACCTTGAAGGTGAGGGTTTCAGTGTATGAATTTTTCAGAAACAAACATTAGAACAGATCTTTTGAATTCTATATTCTCCTTCACAACATGTCCCTGCTTAAAGAAGCACACAATTGTTTGTCAGTTAAATTACTAACCATGTATCCCAACCTGTGTTTCACTTGTCACATATGAAGAAGCTGCAGGCTCATCCCCTGATCTTAATAACCCCTATTCCAATGCCCTGTATCCTAGTTTAGTAAGCATGACCACAGGCCAGCTGTTCTCTACTATCTGTCTTATTTCAACAATCGGAGTTTCATTTTCTCTAAGTTAAAACAAAATCCTAAAATAATTTTGTGTCTTGCACATTAAACTCGGAATTCCTGACTTTTGAATTACTTGGAACATCGAAGCTAATTGTGGAAATATTGCTTGATTTTTCCGTCAGGATTTAATTCTTATATGAGGCCAGTTTCACCTTTTCTTGAGATTTCACTCAGTTAACACCGAATATCTTTACCTTTTATGCGCTCTTAGGTGAATTGCACCTGGGATTTATAAGATGGACCCAGCAAGAAAGAAAAAAAGTGAAGTGAATTTTCTGAATGTGAGAGAAGGTCATTCGGAACTGTACTCCAAAATCAACGAGAATCTGTTTCTAGGTGGCCTTTCACACATTTCCAAATTGCTGTGAAAACACAAGATTCACCTCTGTTATCCCAGTACTCAGGAGGCTGAGATAGGAGAACTACAGGTTCAAGGCTGGCCTGAGCTGCACAGCAAGACCCTGCTTCCAAACAACAATAAAGGATTTGGTGAATAAATAAATACATCATACTACATGGCCATTTGTGATCTTTCATGAAACTTCTCACAGCCATAATTTCAGAGTCTTTGCCAAATGTAGGATCAAGATGTAGCCTGGTTTTTATAAGTAACATCTAATTCATGAAACTAGAATATGCCTCTTTGCTCTGAATTAACTTTCAATTTTTTAGTTTCTGTCTGGTGGGAAGTTCATCATTCATATCCTCTCTGAGAAAATTTCAAAGATGAAATGTTAAGTGAGGACAGAGTCTCAGTGATAAATCAGTATAGCAGAGATCACACCTAACAGGTCTTGAGGAAGAACAGTGGTGGGAAGGGAAATGGAAGAAAGGAATTGGCTAAAGAGAAGGAAAGATGCATTGTTTGGACTAGCAGAAACAGTATAAATGTGGCAGGCGTGCTTTCCCCTCCACTCCTTATTTACAAAACTAAAGAGTAAATTAGGTTCATCTTGGTGCTTAATTGAAAGATGAAGAAAACAAACCTTAAAAAGCCCCCTGCTGGCCGCTCTAATTTCTGTCCTATTTACTCCTTTAAAATATGAAAAATGAAAAAAGCTCCTTACTTTATCTGTATTCAAGATATAGCTTAAAAACATAGTTTCTATCATTAATTGGCTTCCCAATTAAACTATTTCTAATTATTTATTTATTTTTGGTCTTTTTTTTTGAGACATGGTCTCCCTGTAGCCCCAGCTGTCCTGGAACTCACTATGTAGACCAGGCTGGCCTTGAACTCACAGAGATCTGCCTGCCTCTGCCTCCTGAGTGCTATTTTAAAATATTTTATTTATTGATTGATTTTATTTTCTGTGTAGGAGAATATTGCCTGCATGTTGGTAGATGCACCTGTGTGGTGCAATGCCCTTGGAGGTCAGAAAATGATGTCAGATCCCCTGGAACTAGAGTTACAGATGGTTGTTGGCTGCCATGTGGGTGCTGGGAATCGAATCCAGGTCCTCTGCAAGAGCAGCCAGTGCTCTTAACTGATGAGCCATCTCTCCAGCCCCGACCCTCTTTCATTTTTCTTTAATTGAATTAAATGCACTATACAAACATAAATTCCTAAAGACATTTCTGTGACTTGATTTTCTTTGATCATTAAAAAAAAAAATCAGTCTCGTAAGTGATAGATTATTGTTAAAGTTACATTTAAAATTATATAATGTACGTTTATTTTATTATTTATATCTTAATCTAAGGGGAAAAGTTTTTTTATTATCTTACACTCATGAAGATTTAAAAAATTAATTTGTAAATCATTTCTGTCTGAAATTATAATAGCTATCTTTTTATTATTCCAGAAAATAGATAATAATATGCATAGTAAAAAAAAAATCCTGGCTGAATTTGATTCATGCTGTAACTTGAATCTATGATGAGATCATTCTGTAGACTTATCCTTTAGTAAACAGAACTCCTTAGGGCAGCTTGACCCAAGTTGTACAGGAATGTAAATAAAAATGAATCTTTTTTTTTACATGAAACAAATATTTTACCATATTATATGTTGTAATAATCTTTCTCAGGTCCAACACAGAAATCTTAGCATGCATCAAATATTCAAAGCCCGCTTTTAAAACAAAAGCAGCAACAAAGTTTGACAATACTTACATTTAGGCTATTTTCAAAACAAAGTGTAATTAATGGAACAGAAGAACTTGTGCCCTGTAATAGTGACAGCTGTATGGGAGCAAACACACATTTATCTTCATTGTACTCCAGTGTTTTCTGCCTGGGCATGTGTGAAAAGCACAGGAGAGACCTGCAACAATGTTAGTACTGACTCAGCCTTTGTTTCGGCTCTTTCCTGCATGACCAAGCCCTTGCACTTACCTGGCATCCTATCACTGACTTTGTAAAAGTCATGGTTCCTCCATTTGACGTTTTCTCCATAAGCCCAGGAATAAATCTGCAGCATGGAGTTCTGTTCATGAGTTTAAGAACATTATTATTCAAACAAAACACTTCAGGCTAGGGAAGTGCCTAAGTAAAGAACATTTCCTACCATGTGTGAAACCCTGGTTTTGCTTCCCAGCACCACAAAGAAAAAAAGAAAGAAACAAACAAAAACCTTGACCTTTCAGAGTCAGTGGAGTGAGCATAAAAGTTGCCAGGACATATGAAATTTTTCCTGAGACAGAGTCCATCCAACAACTTTATGACAATCCTTTTGGATTAAGCTTTACCTAATACCCTCCAGTTGGTCATGAGACAGTCAGGGGACTGGAAATGTGTCACTTGATGAAGGTTTTCAGGCTGATAACAAGAAGGTAAGCAACTATGTCATCCAGGAGGCTCCAAAGTCCAATGTCCATTCAGGGTCAACTACAGTAATTCCCTTTTCTAAGTCCAGACTTGGCCCATCAGCTAAAGCCTATTAAGGGGCGGTTTCCCAAAGCTCAATCTGAAGAGATTATGGGCTACCCAGTTTAAAGCTGGCCACAGAAGCAAGGCAGTGTGAGTCACAAGAATAATTCCTGTATCTTGACACTCATTGTTACAGAAGTCCTCTTCACAGACATGGGGATAGTCGCAGCTTTTACCTGGGGGCAAGACAGGATCTTCAGGTGAAATCAGGGAGTGTTTGTTTGCGTCTCCAGTTTAGCTAGAGAATGGTGACTTCTGTGTCATTTTAGTTCATTTACTTTTTAGAATAAAAGTTCAAGGGCTTGACTGCATCTCTGCTCTTCAAGTTGTTGGGTGTTTGGTTAGCTGCAGTTTCCCATTGCAGAGACAGTCCTGAGGGGGGCAACATTGAATCTGGCATGGATGGTTTTCACATGTCTAGGCTGGATGGCTTCTTTGCAGGAGTAGCAAATGCCTTAAGCAGTTGGACTTTGTTGACTCAGAAGGAAAGCCCCTCCAGAGTTGAACCAAACAGTCCTGTAGCCCCTGAGAAGTGCTAGGTACATCTTTAAATATACGCTTTGCTTTCTCGAGACATTATAAGAAGAAAATGAGACCACATTTGTATGTAATTTTCGTGAATCAAGTTATTGAAACCAAATACTGTTCTAAATCAAACAACCTTAAATACACAGTTTTAGTATCAATTAGTTGAGAAAAAGATTAATAACCAATAAAAATATTCCATTTCTTTCAGAGTATATATACAGCACATACAAATATTTAAGCATATAGGATATATGCTTGACAGAGAACAGTCCTGAAACATTTTAAATGTCTGTCTTGGCAAGTTTGAAGGCAGTAAGTTCAGTTTTGTTTCTTGTAGTTCTGGGGCTTGAATGTAGTCATTATTTTAGATTTTATTTATTTTATATGTATGAGTGTTTTGTTTACACATATGTTGTATACTACCTGTATTCAGTGCCCTCTCAAAGGTCAGCTGAGGGTTGCTGGATACCCTGGAACTGGAGTAACAGACAGTTGTGAGATGCCATGTAGGTACTAAGAACTAAACCTGGGTCTTCTGCAAAAGCAGAAAGTGCTCTCAATTACTGAGCCATCTCTCCAGCCCAGAACCCAGGGTCTTACGCATAATAAGCAGGCAGTCTACTCCTGATTTTTGTGCCCTACCCCAAATATTAATTAAACAACTTTTCATTTATCATAGAAAAACAAAATAAAATTATTTTTCTAGACTCTAAAGAAAAACAATTTTTTTCAGATTATAAACTATAAATGCTCTCTCATTGTAGATGCCCAAATTATGACAAACTTGCTTCTTTTAGGGACTATGTAATATTTGAGTACAAAGCACGGAAAAAGGTTATATATGTATGGATATATATGAATGTATACATATATACATGTAATCTAATAAACCTTTATCATTATAAGTTTTTTAGTATTGATTGGAATAGCTTAGGCTATGCTAATAGGAAGCATATTCTGATATAGTACAACTTTAATAATGATGTAAGTATAAATTTTAGTGAGCCACAGCATTTCATCCAATATTACTTGATTAGATAGTTATCCTTGCTGACTCAAGCCCCTTCCCTATGTACTCATTCTCAGAATGCCTTCACCCTCAGTCTTCTGCCCCCCTCTGATTATTTCACTCTCCCTTTTACAAGGACCGTTTTCCACTTCGCACTCACTAATCAACTGCTGTGAATTTGACTTTGATTTTGATTTCAGCTCTCAAAAGCCACTGATCATTTCCTAAATGCAAAACACAATGAGCTCTCTGATCATCACATCTTATATAATACTTGATAGTGTTATGAACTGAGTCTGTCCTTTGGAAATATGTTACATCAAAGTCCTAAACCTCAGTGCCCCAAAATATGACCTTATTCGGAAATAGAGTTGTTACAGATGTAGTTAGTAACAAGATGAGGTCATAGTAAAGTAGGTTGACCCTTAATCCAATATTTCTGGTGTCCTTCTAAGAAAACGTGCATCTGAAGACATGTACATTAGAAGAGCATCGTGTGACACCAGTCAGGGGCTGGTATGCAGCCACACACCAAGGAACACCAACTGCTGGCAAACAAACAGAGGTTAGAAGAGGCAAGGAAGAGTTCTTCCAGAGATTCAAGAAGGAACAGGAGCTGCCAATACCTCATTTCAGAACAACTGCCTCCAGAATTGTGAGAAAATAAATTGCTATAGTTTTAAGTGATTGAGCTTAGGGTAGTTATTACACGTCCTTAAAATCTTCTTGCCTACTGAGCTCCACACTGCATTTTTCCAGAAAATTTGCTACATTCTCCAAGATGCTTTACAGTTCCTAATATTCTGAGGTTCCTTGAAATACCTCCAAAGCATTCCACACTATGACCATTGTCATGTTACAGCTTCTGAAGTTCATAGCATAGTTTGAACTATTCTAAGGCTCCCTAGACCTAACAACTGACCATCTTTCCCCAGAGCAGAGTGAACTCAATCAAGTTCAGAAACCTCATCCACTCTCAGAGTTAATAGCTCTTCCATCTGTTTCCCTAAAGCTAATGCTCCCTGAGGAGTTCTACAATGAGACTTCACACTCTCTGTAGTTTTACAATACTTTTAAAGCAAGAAATATGCTTGTGTGGATCCTTGCCCTAACAATGGGCCAGAAATCTTGAAAGCTCTGCTGACAACATTAACATGCTTTCCCCTTTTTCTTTTCATTCTTCTTTTCTCAGTGAAGTCTGGTAACTTCTGCAGGCCAGGATCACTTTCAAAGAGGACCCAATTTGGAAAGAATACTCCCTTTCACTTTGGCTGCAGAGTACTTACCACTGAATAGGAAGGACACCTGTATCAAACTTCTGCCTCCTAAGGCTCAAGGACCATTGCAGAAGAAGATTGTAAGAGCCACAGGTGGTGGATGACGACAGGAAACAGAGTTTTCCAGACAACTGGGAAGTTACTCATATGCACTCACAGCAATGGTGACAGCATGTACAATTCCCATGCAAGTTCAAACCAGACAAAATCCCAGCAGAGAAATCACAGAAATAGAGAAGTGAGTAAGAAACTCCAACCATAGCTGAGGAAGTATTGATAACCGATGGGTGCCCACTGGTGCAATCATGGCATGAAGGTTGTAGAGGTAACCAATTACATTCTGATTGGATTGGAGGCTTGCTTCACAGGAGGGAGTTCATGCCTGATACTATAGACCTGGTCAAAGGTCCACAGGGGCAGAAGTCATGGGCCTCAGGGATGAAGCTGATATCTCTATTTTGCTATGTGGACCTGTTACCAAACTGCCTCCTAAATATTTATGTTTATCCCCATAGACTAGTACTGCCCTCAACCTGTTCAAAGAAGCTTCTGCCTCCAATGAACAGAGGTTAATGCAGAGACTCGTGGCTGGTCAAGGTACTGAAAATAAATGACTGTTGAGTGCTCAGCCCTCATTGTGACATCCATATCACTCCTTCCTAGGCTCAGGGAACAGTGCAAAAGAGGGAATAGAAAGAATGCAAGACCTGCATGATGGGGAGGAGGGAAGTGAAGTTCTGCCTTCTAGGCACACATGGCAATAGTAATCATGAACTCAAAGAAGCTACGCTTATCTGCCTAGGACTAGGGTCATCAACACTCAGTCATGGATGCAAGAGGGGCCCGTGGGTTCTGGCCTGTGCCCCAAGAGCTATTAGCAGATGATGTATGCTAGAGGAGGGGTATTCACTATGCTCAGCCACGTAGCCATGTTTCACTGGGCAGCTCCTACCTATGGCCGTGCAATCAGCACTGATTAAACCCAGTGAGACAGAAAACAAAAACAAGAACAAAACAAGAAGACATGATAGTGGAAGGGGGACGTGCTGGGGTCAGGGGATGGTGGAAGAGGGAATGAAAGAAAGTGGGGTGGTATGACCAGAATGCGTTATATTCATGCATGAAATTGTCAAAGAATAAATTAATTTGGAATAATAATAAATAAAATTAATTTAACAAAATTTTTAATTATACAAGTGAGAAGTGACAAAATTTTTTTTAGTAAAAGGAGTAATAGGGAAGACTCACTACTCATGTCACCAGATATTTCCAGAAGATATAGCAGTTAAAATAGTATATTGTAATAAGTAGATAAATCTATGACTTTTTTAAAAAAAGCTTAGCAATAGACTCAAATATTTATAAAATTGCAGTAGATGGCAAAGTTGAAATTGCAAATTATTAGGTAACCCTGTTGTCTGTCACCAAATTGTGCTAAGAAAATAGGTCTGTATTTGGGGTGAAATACAGTAGATGAATTCCAGGCTAATTAAATAAATGTTTAAAAATGAAAACATGAGCAAATAGAAAAAAAGCAGAAGTTTATGTGATGTTACTATGAGAAGATCTTTCTAAGTTTTAATGTCAAGGGGCAGTCTTCCCTCAGTATCTATAGGGAATTCAATGCAGGATCCCCTATAGTAATCAAGATCTGTTCATGTTCATGTCTCTTCTGTGAAGTGGCTTAGTGTACATATAAAACCCATGAATATCCTCTTGCATGTTTTATCATCTCTAAGTTACTTCTGATACCTAATGCAGTACAAATGTTCTGTGAATAATGACAAGGAAAATGCCTGTTCATTTTCAATACAGATACAATTATATTTGGGGGAATAATTCTGGTCCTTGGATGATGGAATCCAAGAATGTGCAACATATGGATATAAGAACTAACTATATATATAACAGCACAGCCCATTAAACTATTCCCTTCAGCACTGTGTTGGCTACTTGCTAAAAACCAGTGGACAGAGACACAGCAAAGGATAACA